GAAAAAACAGCCTGATATGTATATGCCATTGTTTAAGACTGCAGAATAACCTCTTCCCATTCTTTAGAGGTACAGTGAAGCCACAGACTAATACCTTATTCAGATTCTAATAGTGGTTCTGAAGAAGATGCCCAAGTCAAGGTTCCAAGCTGAGCTTAGTGTGAGCTAGCTCACAGTTTTTTACTCTCCAGTTCACATATTTTTGCCATAGCTCAGGAAGGATGGCTCCAGAGCAAACTAATCTATGCAGTAGCTAAATCACTCACTCACAACTCTAATGTCAGTAGGTCACAAAGTAGAATTTTTGCTCACATGACTCCACAGCTTAGAGGGAGCATGAATCCCTCAACCAGTCACATCTTCTCCCAATTCAGGGACCTTATTATAATTCAGATAATAATAATATTTATAGTGCATTTCCACAGAGAGACACTGTTTCGGCAATCCTGTAAGGTCCTCAGTAACCAGACTCTCCTCCATGTAACTATTACTAGGATTAAAGCTGAAACTCTAACTCTATTTACATCCCAACAAAATAAAACAGGAGCCCAGCGGCTCCTGAAAGACTAACAACAGTGATTCCAGCATCAACTTTCCTGAGTCAGATTTCAGTTCATCCCATGCGTGAAGTTAGCTCTGGCCGGAGAAAGCTTATGCTGGAATAAACGTTTCATTTTGCTGTTGCAGACTGGCATCTACGGAGAATTTGCCTCCCAACTGACTTAATTGCATGGACTTAGAAGAAAGGGTACTGATGATGGCAGCAAAGATGCTTTAGTAACCTGATCATTCCCTATTTTGAATGAGACTTTGGGATCTAGGAACGTCTTTCTGACTCACGATGTCTGTCACACATGGGAACCCCTCTCAGCGAAGACTTTTCTGATAGTTTTACTGCCTCGGTCTTGCAAAAGGCATCAATTCTCTTGGTTGTACCGGGGAAGTAACCAAGTACCCTACGCGGAGCACTTTCCTAAGCAAATACAGGAGGCGGAAAGATTTATATGGAACGGGAAGCAAACGATAGAACTAGGTGTGCTACCAGGTGTTACTGCGCCTTTTTATCTGCAGCTTGCTCCTAAGGAATGGCTACAACTCATTCCAAAGAAGTCACAGAGGGCTGGATCCGACCAGATTTTCTGCTCAGTCCCCACCCCCGTGGTTTTGATTGATGGATTTTTTTGCCCCCCCTCCAGTCTCTCTATGGACTAAAAGGGACTCTCCTGGCTCTTTTAGCTGGTTGGCTCCAACCCAGACAATCTCCCCGACTGTGTCTCCTCGGCTTCTGACATAACCCGGGGATCAGCGGCCACCCTGGGGCACAAGGAAGAGAATCACTGTTAGGGTAATAATCTCGTAAACCCACCGCACCCCCGGGGCTTTTCTCTCTCCCGTCGGGCGGGAGGGCTCTTGCTTGTGCCACTCCGATTTCCCCTGCAGTGGAGGCGGACAGCTCGGAGGTGGCGTATCAGTCCCCAAGCTCTGCGCTCTCCGGGTGACGGTTGCCTCGGGCTCTTTCGATGGGCTGGAATCTGATTCCCGTGGGCTGGCAGGAGCAGCGGCAGCGATACGGACCGGGGGCTGCGAAGCTGCGGCCAAAGGGATGCCCTGCGTCCAGGCTATTTAGGGAGATGAGGAGGGAGTGGAACTACTCCGGGCTGAGATTTCGCCAGAGTCCCAACGACCGGAGCGTCTAAAGACAAGAGGATGAGAGAGCCCCCCGTGACTGGCCAGATGCGCCCTGAAATCTAAAAGAGAGGGGTCCCTGAGGGTGGAGCTGGAGCGGGCTGGGGGGGACTGGTCACTGGGACTTTGCCTGAATGCTCCATCACGCAGAAAGAAAGAAAGAAAGAAAGAAAGAAAGAAAGAAAGAAAGGAAGGAAGGAAGGAAGGAAGGGCAGAAAGAAGGAAGGAAGGAAGGAAGGAAGGAAGGAAGGAAGGAAGGAAGGAAGGAAGGAAGGAAGGAAGGAAAGAAAGAAAGAAAGGGTTCCTAACAGATGTTTCAGGTATATGGAAGAGATGTGATTTACATTTCTTCTAAAACAAACAAAAAACGCGCTTGAATTCTACAAGGATTCACAGCCGGGTCCTACTACCCATGTTTACTCAGAAGTGAGTCTCCATGCATTCAGAATGGAAATCTCTCGAATAAATGGTACATAGGATTGCAGACTTTCAAGCCCATTATTATTACCCAAGCGTTTCGACTTCATTACTGGCATTTTCCAGCTATAGTGATACATCTTGCATATCTTCCTTCGTCTATTACTTATTGTTATCATCATCATCAAGAAACACCGGCTTAATATTGTTTGAGTTTCAAAACTCTGACAGGGATGTGGCATGCGGAACCCAGAGGCCGTCCTCTCAATTTAGCAAACAGACCAAAATAAAATAAAAATATAGCATAACGAGAGGAAGTGATGAATCACCTTCATGCTCCCGAGCCTCTGCATGTTTACTCGGAAGTATTCCCCTGACTTCAGTGGTACTTCTTTACTCCCGATTACATGTGCTAAGGATTGCCACGGAATTAAACCTCAGATCTGTACAGTACAGATCATGTGCATCTTCCAAACATTCGTTCAAATATTAGGGACAGGATCCTGCCTTCCGCCCATTTAAAATGCCTGTGATCCCGTTTCCTGCCCCGCTGCCATTGAACGTCGTTTCCCGCTACGTCTAGTTAAACGCCTGTGTTCCACGGGGAGAAAGCAGGTGTCTTTCTCTAGCTCTCAGCATCCTCCCCTCGTAAATTTCTTTTTATTGAACAGAGTTTTTGATAGGCCAGTCGCTAGAAACGGAAGAGCCAGCCAGCCTTCCCTTCACAGGGCTGTTTCATCCGCATCGGCGCCGATCACCAGTTCTTATCACCTCACTGGCAGCTGGATCGCTGGACTGACGCCCCTGGGAAAGACGGCTATGACGCTATAGGGAAGTTCTGGCGGCGACGTCAGATGGCGGCGCATTCACACCGCAGGATCCGACGGCGCCGCGGCCCCAGGGACAAGCCGGCCCGCGCGTGAAGCAAGTCCTACAGTGGCTCGCCATTGAGCCGGTGACTCTGTGCGGGTGGATCGGCTCCCTCCACGACAACCACGACCTGAAGCTACCGGAGCCCCGCGTGCTGCGAGCCGAGCCACCTCTTTGGCTGGCCCGCCTCTCTCTCTCCAGGGGCCCCGCTGCTCCCGTGGGCTTCACACTCCTCCTCCCCGCAGACTGACAGCTGTTCCCGTTTAGGAGGGCGCTCTTGTTTAAGTCCCGGGGAGGAACAATAAAAACAGTTTTAAATTAAAACGACTCTGTCATCAACAAGGCTCAAGCGATGTTTACGCCGGCCCGCCGCAGCGCTAACAAACACAGCCTGCGAGGTTGGCTGGCCGCGTGGGATTCAGGCACCGGGCTGGCACCGGGCCGGCCACGGCCCCCTCCCCCGACGGAATGTCCTCTTCGGGCGGGCGGGC